GAACATGGGAAGGGAAGAAAGGGGGTTGAAATGGGGTCACCATGGCTTGATATTAAAGGGAGTATGGAAAGGGTGAAGAAAGCGAGAAGAACATGGTGTTATTTCCCCCCTACCTCAGGACATGTATGGTCATGCAGTAGAAATTCCAAATGTTATCCGTCAATATAATTGGATTTTTTTTCCAGACAAAACTCTTATCTTACCAAATCATCAAAACCAGAAAGTTACTTGTGAAGAACTTTTATTTTGGTAAAACCTGACAAAACTATGCTCAAGGGCCACTAAACCTGCTTGATTTCCTGTGAGGCAGCTCTGTGCTCTGTAGCCTGAGGCACCTGCAGTCTGGGGCATCTCTGAGTGAGCTTCCAAGTTCCTGGGGCTTGTTTTTGGAGTCCTGGCAAATCCCCTGAAGTGAAAAAAGAAACCCAAAACATTGCTTTTGTTTTTATTTTCAGAAAATGAAAAATGATTTTATTTCCCATGTACGTACAAAGCTTGGTGTGTTGGAAGATACTTGATCAAATCAGGAATTTTGTTAATTACTTAAGAAAGATGCATGAAACTGTGAGCAGTGGAGGTTTTTTACAGTTGACTGTGCCAGCCAATATATATATATATATATGTATATATATATATGATTTGCCAAAACTGTAACTTGTTGAAGGAATCTTTGAACTTTTGTGTTGGGTTTATGATTGCAAGGATAGGATTCGCTAGCAGGGAGAGTGGCTATGATACATAATATGAGATGCCCTGGTTGGGATGTGTACCATGCTCTCCCATGACGGACACAACCAAGCTGTTGACTCTTCTGCTGGCTTTCTCCTAATTTATTTTGTTGGTTTTGCTCCAGTATGTGTAGAGAGTGACTGCTCTGTGGGCAAGAGAGCTAATTTTACATTGTGGTTGTTGTGGAGGTCCTGGGGAACATGAGAGACTTTGTATAATGTTTTGCTCTTCTTTTTTCCAAGTCTTTCTAAGACTTTCTGGAATAGCTGTGAAAGATCTGAGTAAATCTAAGTCTATTAAATATATGGAAGTGCTTATAATTTTTCTGTTTGTTTGATATTTTTCGTCTTAAGTATTTGAAGTCTACCTCTGCTCAAGGAGTTTTAGCTGAGAGATCTGGTGTGCATGGTGCCCCAGCTCTGTGGGTGGGCATGGAGGACCTGACTTTTCTGGCGTCGTTATCCACACCTCTGTCTCCTCAGGCCCAAGCTGGGGAGATATGCAGTATTTTAAGCAAGTTTTTTAAGATTTCTTGAGCTCTTCTTTAATGGAGAGCATAAATGGTTGTGTCATCCTTAAAACTAGGTAACAGATGCCCACTAAACCGTAACTTCCACAGGCGATGTGTTTCCTTGAGTGAACAGCTCGTACACACTGCTGATTCAAGACATATTTTTAGTGTCCTGGCTGATCCAGGTGGCTGGAACAGCAGAGAAAGCTGGAGGTAGGATAACTTCCAGTCCTCTGTTTTTATTTTACTTGGCTGAGATTTCCCATTGTCTCTCTAAGCTTTAAAATTTTTGTAGAGTGATCTGACAAAGACAAGTAATCCAATCTGAATCTGGATCGTACCAGGATCTGAGTAGCTAAGCTGCAGTAGCTGCTTTTGTTTCTCACTGATAAAGCACATCAAAATAAATGAAAATGGTAGTAATTGCATCACAGAAATTTTCCATGCAAATGTGTTTCATATATGAAGGAAGCCAGTCTGCTTATACCAGTTTGTAATTCTGTGAATGTGTGTGGGGATGGCAAGTGAGAATTACTGTAAGAACATGTAAGCTAAGATGTTTGCGAAGGGGGGAAAAAAAAAGTTTTGAGAACAGACTCCTTCTTTCCCAGGAATTCATTCAAGTCCCTTCTTATTTCAGGTATCTGTCCATTTACTGTTGCCTTCACATAGGAGTACTTCCTTTACTGATTTCAATTCTTTTAATCTTGTGGTATCCCTTTCAAGATGACTCTCACACTCTAGATGCTGTCCTATCAATATCCAATCAATGCAGCGCTATCTTTAACAAAGATTTTAAATTCTGTTTTAGTGACTGCTGCTCTAATAGCTGTGCTCAACTCTTCTGGCTAAGTCTTTTTACAGGGTGGAAGATTTATGAGATGTGCAACTGCAGCAGATATGTGGTGGGTTGGCTTTGGCTGGCCACCAGGTGCCCACCAAGCCACTCTCTTGCTCCCTCCACAGGATGAA